CTAGATCCATTCATTTGCCGGCAAATTTCAAGATGTCATTATTTTTTTTCCACTGTGTAGTACTCCATTGTACAAATGTACCACATTTTCCTTATCCATTCTTCGGTTGAGGGACATTTAGGTTGTTTCCAGGTTCTGGCTATGACAAACAACGCTTGCTGCTATGAACATAGCTGAGCTCATGTCCTTGTGGTATGACTGAGCATCCTTTGGGTATATACCCAAAAGTGGTATTGCTGGGTCTTGAGGTAGGTTGTCAAATAGCCTTTTGATATTATGCCAAACTTTCTCAAAAAAATGAAGAGTCTAAGGCCATAGCCTCTCCCTTTATCTGATCTAATTGAAAAAAAAATCCTGTATGTTAGCTGTAATAAATAATAAAGAAACTTAGCTGACCATGGCCCTTAATATATTTAGCCAGCTCCTGAGATGCTGAACTAACATTCCTCATCTCAAAAGGCATCATACAAAATGAGGGGAAGTAAGGACCACAACTGAGTCTCATCAAGGTAATTAAAGTGCAAATCTCTTCCTCTAATAAGAAATCAATTTGTTTGGGAGGTAATTAGAGCAAGACAGGGGAGTATGTACATCAACTCTCCTGGGTTATTCCTTTCTTGGTGGCTGCAGGTTGATTCATGGCCAGGCAGACAGCTCTTACTGGGACCCATATTGGCATCTTGGCAGTCTGAGGAGAAACATAAACATACCTTCACCCACAGGTTAGCAGGCAAAGCAGGCTATGATCTGCAATCCTTTGCCTAATGAAATCCCTTATTGCATACGGGGCATTGGGTCCTAGGTTTTGCCTCAGACGACCTGGTTTGCCGCACCCCCCAGCAAGATCTATCAACTTGGGGGCCCTTGGGTGTGTCATCGGCAGGCTGCTTGTCCTCAAAGAGGGCATCCAGGGAAGTAGTGAGGGCAGCAATGGGACTATTACTGAGGTCAAGATCTCTTGTGGCTCTTCCCAGTTGTGAGTGTCCTCATTGCGGGTGGGGGGGCATTAAGCCCTTCTCAAACCAATTGTTTGATTAACATTTCCCTAGTGGGGTCTGGTTCTACTCTACTCCATTGCCTTATTGACACATGAGAGAAAAATCAGTAAAAAATTTCCCCTGGTTGTACAGACTAACGACTGCAGCATCTTCTTCCCACATATTTACAGCTTGAGACTGCACTCCTACAAGACCAGCTAGCCTCTCCCCTGTACTGTACCTAATAACCTCACAGAGGTTCTGACTTCCTGGCAGTGGTAGCATTAGAAAACTCCGCCTGACCACAATGTCACTGCATGTGTGTCTATATGTCTGTTTTTTCTTCATTCCCTCACATCCCCTAACCAGGGATCCAGAACACAAGCCTAATGGGAGAAGGTCCTCAGTGACCTGAAATTAAGCCAAATATCAACGTGCATGAGTCCCGCACAGTTACACAAAGCTGGTCTGGTTGCCTTCCAGCCAGGAGTGAGGCTTTTAGTGAGAAAGGGAAAGGGGACTTCAATCACTGCCTAGAACCTGTAATTGATATTCCTGATCCCTTACAACCCATCACTCAGGGCATCCAAGAGGCAGATGCAGGAACTGAATCTTTAAACCACGCCTTATTCAGAGAGCCAGCAACCTGAGAGGTTGGTGAACAGGCATCCTAAGCTGTCTTCTCATCTGCAGCCATCAGATGATACAGGGATGGGGAACCAAGGCAGTCGATCTCAAAGGCTCAGTCTTGTCCTCTGGACAGGGCATTGCCTTGTCTCTGTTTCCCTCACTGCCTTTGCTCTGTGCAACAGGGCAAGGGATCACATACACCAAAGTCACTGAGTCCTGAAGTCCCCAGGTCAGTGTGTGGGTGATGAGATTTAAGGTTAACTCAGAGGCAATGAGCAAACAGAATTCTGTCCATGATGGGCTGGACTGCGGGTGTGCAGCTCCCCCAACAGAACGAAGGTCAAATGTCTCTGTAACAGAGGATATGAAGTGTCTAGCAAAGTGCCTTGCAAACCAACACCTGAAAATTGAGTCTTTGTTTACAGGTATAAAAGACTATTAGGAAAGTCAACACGTGAATCTGAAAAAACTCAGCCAGCAATCAGAGCCACAGACTCAAGAGTAATCACATATCAAAAAAAAAATTATAAAATGAAAGTGAACAGCCAATAACCAATGACAATTTAGGGAAAAATATCAAATGGTAATATTTGATATTGAAAATGCTGTAATCAATTTGGAAAAAAGTAAGCCATGTATAGTGGTGTATGCCTTTAACCCCAGCACTTGGGAGGCAGGCGAATCTCTGCAAGATTAAGACCAAACTGGTCCGCATTGTGAGTTCCAATATAACCAGAGCTATATAGTGAAAACTGGTCTCAAAAATATAAAAGGATTAAGATAATTTTAGAATTTTTGAAATATTAAAATGTAGGAGATAATGAAAAGAGTTAAGGTTTAGAAAACTCCAAAGTACATTTGTTATGCCCAGTCCATGAGGACACCAAAAGATCACCAGGGAGACCGACTCACTGAAATGCAAAAGCAAGGTTTATTGTGTGCACAATACAAGTCAGCAAGGACCTCATCAAAGCAACTGGCACAGCAGCAGCAAGAAGAGTACCCCACCCTTCTACAGGGCATTATTCAAAGGCAAAACCCAGAAAAGTGACCTTAGCAGGGTGTGGGGTGACGGGTTCAAGCCTGATTGGTTTGTGTCTAGGGACCTTTCAAAAATCTTATTTTCAAACCTCGCCTGTTGCTTGTCAAGTTTTTTTTTACTGGCTGACCTTCGTGTGGTGACATTCTGTAATTATCTGTACTTTCCAGATGGCCCCCTGTTACTATTGCCCCTAGCCATTTCTGAGGACTGGCACGTTTTTTATGGGAAATAGCTTACACCAGACACAAGATGGAGGCAGAAGGCAAAATGGAGGAACTTTGGTTCTTCACACTGCTGTGCACTATTAGATTAAGATGTGTTATATTCATTTATGCCGTAGAACGTTTGTTTGGTCGCACAAAGATGTGCTGCATTCTTTTGTGTTGCATTTGTTTAACTCTGTAAGGCTGTGTTCCTTCCCTCGGCCTCAAACACTTGGTCTAATAAAGAGTTGAAAGGCCAATAAGCAGGAGAGAGAAATAGGTGGGGTATCAGGCAGAGAGAATAAATAGGAAGAGAAATCTAGGCTATAGAAGGACAAGAAAGGGGAGCAGCAACAGCAGGAGAAGGAGAGGAGGGCACAGGGGCCAGCCCCCCCATCCACACAATCAGTCGTGGAGTAAGAAGGAAAGACGGATATATAGAATAAAGAAAGGTAAAAAGCCCAGAGGCAAAACATAGTTAAAGTTAATTTAAGTTAGAAAAGCTGGCTAGAAACAAGCCAAGATAAGGCCAGGTACTCATAAGTAAGAGTAAGTCTCTGTGTATTTATATGGGTGTCGCGTTCTCCCCCCCCCAAAAAAAAAACCAACTACAGTACATTCTGTTCCATTAGAGGACAAAGGTAGTTTCAGGTAGACAAAAGTACTGTTGTGGGGTATTCACCAAAGAAGTTTTAAGCCAATAGAAAGTTTTTATAGCTGGCCAGCATCTACACTGGTTTTGTTCAGAATCCCAGTGTAGCTGGGAGACTTTCTCAGGGTGAGCGATTAAGCACAGAAACCATGCCCTGGGTTGACCAAGAACAGTTAGTGGAACTACAGAGGCTAAAAAACAAAGTTAGTACATTTAGACTTTCCTGGGACTATGGACTTTGAAGGATTAGATGTTTCTTTTCATTTCGCAGGTGGTGGTGTTTCTCTGCTGAGTTTTATGTCCTGAATGGCACTTCCATCAGAGAGTCTGTTGTGCTGGGGGCCTATAAACATCTGTCGCTGGGTAGGGGTGCTCTTCCAATAGGAGCCACAGTAAGGGTCACTCAGTACCAAGTGCATAGGGCAAAAGCACTCAGGAAATACAGTCAAACAGGTCTCTGAGTTTGAGGTAAACATAATCTACATAGAAAGTTCCAGGACAGACAGGTGTAGGACCCAGTCATGATGAGCTCAAGAGACCACAAACTGAGACCACCCAGGCACCACCCAGAACAGACCACCCACAGGAAATTCCTAATGTTCCAACTATTGCAGATAGGACCACTTGATGTCCTTTGGCCAAGCACACACTCATTGCTTTTCCCCAGGATATCCCTAGAGAAACATCAGCCAATCGGGCTTCCTGAACCTTAGAAATCCCTCACCCCAACCTCTGCTATTATAAAAACTTCATCCCAACCGAGCTCAGGGCTCTCCGATCATGCCAATGCATTGGGCCCACAGAGAGTCCAAGTTCAGACTTGAATAAGAATAAAGGCTCTTTACTTTTACATACAGGACTCAATCTCCTAGTTGGTTTTTTGGGGGACTCCTTGATCTGGGCATAACACCAGGGCTACAAAGTGAGACCCAATCTTTAAAAGAAAAAATCAGAATGAGAGGAAACAGTCATAATACAGGCGACCTAACAAAGCACCTGAATATTTTTTTGCACTCAGAGGCATGTGGTCTGTTTGAAAAAAGTCCGGGTCATGGTGTTACACATCTGTGAAGAAAAAAAAATGCAAGGAGAACAAAAAGAAGCAGATGGTTCTAAGAACAAGGAAGTTACAATTTATTGAGGACATTCTCACACATACACACCAAAATGTGTCTTGAGCAACAAGAAGACAGGTGGGCCATGATTATAATAATGTCCAGTGAGTTTCCAAATTTCAAGCAAATCCTTGCACAAGGAGGTAGTTTTGGGAAAGTTCTGTAATTTGTAACTGGTCTCAAGCAATCCGGTTCCCATGTGAGCACTGTCCTCTCTTGACTCTGCGTGTCACCTCTGTTTCTCACAGCACTCCTATTAAACTGGATTTTAATTAATTAATGCTTGGGTTTCTTCTTCTTTTTTTTTTCTTTTCCGAGACACGGTATCATTATATAGCTCTGGCTGTCCTGGTACTCACAATGTAGATCAGCTTGGACTCCAATTCAGATCCACCTGCCTTTGCCTCTCAGTGCTGAGATCAATGGCATGCACCACTAAGCCCAGCCTTTTTTAATTTTCTGTTAAAAACTGGATCTATGAAGCCATGGCTGACTGGAAATTCACAGAGATATGCCTACCATTGTCTCAGGAGGGATAGGATTATAGCCACACCACATGGCTCCTACTTCAACACACACCCCAAACAAAGGTAACACAAGACCAAGGATGGTCCCTCCCATTAGGAGGACTTCTCAAGACTCTCAAACTGTACTCCTTTCTTAATTTTTCCTTTCATTCTTTCTCTCTCTCTTTTTCTTTTTCCTTCCTCCTCCTCTTAAAATAGTTAAGTGGTCTTCAGTATTCTTTTTCTTTTTAACTTATTGTACACACATGATTTTAGTGTTACCACCAATCAATCACCCAATTTTCACAACAGCAGGTAGAACTGTATAGAGGCCAAATCCTCCAGACTGGCTCAGCCTCATAAGTGCTCTGACTTCAGCCACCCCAACCCACAGTGTCCTTGTCTTGTCTGAGGCTTGAGACCAACCAGAGCAGCTCCACAGCAGGCCAGGCTACTCTCCAGACTCTCCAAGGTTTCCAGCTCCAGCTCCAAGCTCCCCCCATGGTGGCGACGCTGAGCCTGGAGCCCGCGGGCCGCAGCTGCTGGGACGAACCACTGAGCATCGCCGTGCGCGGCTTGTACCCCGAACAGCCCATCACGCTGCGCGCCGCCCTGCGCGACGAGAAAGGCGTTCTCTTCCGCGCCCACGCGCGCTACTGCGCCGACTCCCACGGCGAGCTGGACTTGGCGCGCGCGCCCGCGCTGGGCGGCAGCTTCGCGGGGCTCGAGCCCATGGGGCTGCTCTGGGCCATGGAGCCCGATCGGCCCTTCTGGCGCTTGATCAAGCGCGACGTGCAGACGCCCTTCGTGGTGGAGCTGGAGGTGCTGGACGGCCACGAGCCCGACGGCGGGCGGCTGCTGGCGCGGGCGGTGCACGAGCGTCACTTCATGGCTCCCGGGGTGCGGCGCGTGCCCGTGCGCGAGGGTCGTGTGCGCGCCACGCTTTTCCTGCCTCCAGGTGAGCAGCCCTCCACCTTCCCTTGCTCAAAGTTCCTCTGTGATTTTAAGTGAAGAAAAAGGTAGCTCCCAATGACTTGGGACTCAGAGGAAAGGAGACTGGACCCAGCTGGAAGGGGCCTGTTATGATGATGCTGTTTCTCTGAAGCTGGTCCTTTATTCTGCTGCTAAGTTAAAAGACTTTTTAAGGAAAAGAACAGGACACTTGTAATATAAAATTAAAACTAGTGATAATAAACGGGGCTGAGGTGGCACACTCCTTTAATCCCAGCACTTGACAAGCAGAGGCAGACCCGTTTTTAAGTTTGAGGCCAACCTGGTCTACAGAGTGTGTTCCAGGACAGCCAGGCTACACAGATAAGCCCTGTCTCAAAAAATAAATAAATAAATAAATAAATACACACATAAATAAATAAATAAAAATAAAAAATAAAAATTGCCATCTTTAAATATTATTTTAAATGTTAAATTTGTTTTGAGCTGTGCGTTAGAGCACAGCAGGTTGGGACACCAAAGCAAAAGGCTGTCTTGAACTTTGGAGCTCAGGCTAGTCTGGTCAAGTCCTTTTCAAAACAAGGAATGTTTCTTTTCTTCCTTCCTTCCTTCCTTCCTTCCTTCTTTCCTTCCTTCCTTTCTTCCTCCTTCCTCTTCTTCATCCTCCTTCTTCTCCTCCTCTTCTGTTTTCCAATACAGGGTTTCCCTGTCCTGGAACTCGCTCTGTAAACCAGGCTGGCCTTAAACTCAGAGACCCACCTCCCTCTGTCTCCTGAATGCTAGGATTAAAGATGTGGACCACCACTGACTGGTCAAGGGATATTTCTGGCTTCTGCTGGTTTTCTTTCCATTCCCACACTAGGTTAAGATTTCTGTCAACTAGCAGTTAGACTGACAAGCTGAGATCATTGCATAGTCATACATAAAATGATGCTGACTTAGCCTCTTTAGTAACTGACGAAATGCAAAATAAAACGGCGAACTATATAGCATAGCTTCAAGAGTAACAAAGCTTTCAAAGCCTAACATTCCAACTCTTGTTAAACGCTTGGAGGAAGGGTCACTCAGTTCATAACTAGAGAGAGTGGGGGGTATGCATCCAGCTATTCTGGGAAGCAATTGCTTTTTAACTAGGTAGATCAATATGCAATTCTACCATTGTATGCACATGTGTACTGAAAGATTGTTGCTTGGAAATAGTCCAAATGCCCCCACCTACCAATAATGAAGCTGATGAATGAATAGAGGCACATTTCTAGAAGTCAAAATAATCGTCCCTCAGCTTCTGTGCTCAACCCAAATGAAATCATAGGGAGACAAGCTCTCCAGTCGCTGGTCATTGTCCCTAGTGTTAGCAGCAAGGAGCCACAGAAGTGAGAAGCAGGAGCAACCATTAGTGGCATCCTCCAGTGTCACAGTCCTGCAGGCCTTGGGTATCAGGCCAAGACCAATGTTACATCCTTAGGTGCAAGAGGTGCAAGACCCTGAACCTCTGTAGCTTGACAACTTTCTGGAATCCTGGAATATTCTGGTGACCAGCAACGCCCCCCCCACCCCCCAGCTTTTGTTCTTCTTTAGTCTCGGCTCACTACTCTCTCTTGCTATCTCTCTATTTCCACATTTCTGATTCTTTCCCTGGCTACTCTTAAATCATTTGGCTGCTTCTTCAGCCAGCTGCCTGAACCCTCCCCAGCACAGCGGCGGCTGCCATGACAACTCAGGAAGCCTGCCCCTTGCCAGAGGATGGAGCTCCAGGCTAACACACTTGCCAGCTGCTTAGAAGTTGCAGTATCCATTCAGGAGCTGGGTGCCAGGTGCTGGGCACACACCAACACACAGAACTGCCGAGGGGTGAGAGCAGCCACCTGCGTTAGTGGTTTCACAACCTGCTCTGCTAAATGCTGAGCTGTCCTGACCTCTGCGGTTGCACTGGCTCTGCCTCATGCTCCCTGTGGTCTTTATGTTCCCAGCTTAACCTACATTGAAAGTAGGCAAGAAAAGACCACTCCAGAGAAGCCTTTGTCCAATGTTGAGCACCAGGAGAGGCAGGATTGAAAAGAATGTCTCTCTGAGGACTTGCTGAATAACCTGCTTGCCTTTGTTAGAGAAGGATCATCTGATCAATTACAGTCTAGCCTCTTAGCACCCATCACAATAACTCACAATAACTGAGATTGGTGTTTTAGACCAAGCACAGATTTACCTTCAGGTACAACTGCCAGACTAGTAGGGGAAATGCCCCCTCCACACACACACCAAGGTGGAAATGGTTATAACAGAAAGTCTGGTACAAGTTGTTTCTAAGGGCCCTGGCAATAGCTACACTGATGGCCGAAGATACAAAATAATCCCACACTAGTTCAGATTACATATAATAAAGAGTTATTTATTTAGGGGAGACTCACAGATCACTGTCCTAGATCACAGTCCTCTGCACGAGCGGGAAACAGGAACAGAGTCTAGCAGCCGGAAGTGAGAGCCGTAAGCAAAAGAGTGAGCCCAAGCTTTACACCTGCATTTATAATATGAAAGACCATGCCCCAGTGGTCTGAAGGAGTGGAAGGAGCTCCCACAGCACCTCCCCCTTTTGTTTAAATAAGAGAGTTCCAAACCCAATACAAAACTGTATACACTAGGAACAGATATTAAATATAAGATTAAAATTACAACCAGCATAAACAATATTAAGCAAGGAACATGTGCTAAAATGTTTTAATAAGCATTCTATCCTAAGGACTCTAAGTCTTGTATTGGAAACGGCTTGGCTAGATCAAAAGAGGATGGTAACTACGACTATCTAATCTTCAACCCCATCAAAGGCCTGAGAAGAGAGATAATATTACTTGAGTAGGCAAGCAGCTTCTAAAATGTGCAGTGGATAACAGAGATGACTGGCTGCCTGAGCAATCACCCAAAGTCTCATTTGCAATGTTGAAGCAATCACCTTTGTCTATGGCCTAGAGTAACTTACAGACCATTTTCAGAGGCAGGAAAAATTTCAAAACCATCTTACCCTGTCTTGGCAAGATTTGACACTTTTTTTTTGTATGCTGTTCAGTCTGGACATTGTGCACTTTGCCAGTGGTTGAGGCATGGTCAGTTCCTTGCCCAAAGGCCAGTTATGCTGAGAAGAAGACAAACTCCAAGTGGACTGTCTTTGGTCCTCAACACTCTCTTGGGAATAGATCAGTGTTGCCAGGAGCAATTGTATCTCACATCAACAGAATCCTGAGTTATTTAAATGCCATGTTCTACAGATCTTTGAAGTGGTTGAAGGTTACTTATTTATGCAGAATACAATCTCTATGTATCCAAAGAACCTAATTAGTCTGACTAAAAGTATAACAAACATGAATGACTATTGACCTATAATACTTAATACCCATATATATATATCAAAGATTAAGGTTTTATATCAGAATATTGAACAGTCTTTAAAAAACTGTGCAGTAAAGGAGGACAATGACATCAAAATGTAAACAATGTATAAATAGCTTAATCAGAGGTAAAAATATATAATGCAATATGATGAATATATCCTAAAATTGTATCAATGTCCAAAATGTCTTAAACAGAGGTAGAAATATGCATTCATACAATATGACAAAATAGCTTTGCATTGGTGTACAAATATTGTAAACAGAAATAACAAATATAATTTGAACTTGTATCAATATACAAGAAACTATACCAGTGTAAATTGTCCATAAATAATAGCTCACACGTATTTACTCTATTACTCACTATTATTATTAGTGTAAATAATTTCACACTAAATTATCTATTATCCCATTCAATCTTCCTTTTTTATTTTATTTTTGAGATCTCTAGGCCTACATAATTTCCACTCCAACCCCCCCCCCAGCCCTATGTGAGTAATAATCAATCCCTAAATGGTGTCTCTAACTGTGAGGACAAACTTTGTTAGGAGAGGGGATGTGACTTTCTAGAATTGCTTCCATTGTCCAGCTCCTAAGCCAGCTCTTATTTTTAAGTAGAGATGTATACATGTCCAAATAATCAAATTTTACCATGCAGATAATACAGCATCATAAGGCAGATTTCTCTTTGCTTGTTGATTCTTTCTGGATAGTTATCTTTTTATCTTTAGGCATCTAGGTGTCCAAGGTCTCTCCACTCTTTGAAGATGAATATTTTCCTGCAAAGACAAGAACAGAACCTGCCCCAACCCTTCTGAGGTTTTCTTAGCACCTGTATGATTGTCGCCTCTGTGGATAAGCCGTCATTTCTCTTCATCAAGAGGTTCTCTTTTTCAAACCAAATCTTTATCAATTTTGATGGTATCCATAGCTTTTCTTCTCCTGTGGAAACAAGAGTGAAACCCCTTCCCCAGTGTAGCTTATCTGGTTTCCATTTTGAGGTCAGCACATCTTTGAAATATACAGACTGATTTAATTCAGAAGGTTTTTCTATTATCCAATGTCTCTTTGTTGTTGCTGTGCAGTTGCAGCCACGTGACAGAGAGAAGCTGGCAGCAGGCAACAGCACATATTGCTTACTTAGGTACTGAAATATATGCTTTGTTTAACAAATTAAGAACAAATTAACGTGATCAAACGATTCCAAGAGTTGGGGCCCAGGTTAAAGAGAAAACCGAAAGTTTTCTGTCAATGTTAGTTGCAGACTGTGTGTACTGCAGGGATTGCAGGCAGCAGTGTGTGGGTTGCGAGCTGGGGAGCGCTGAGTAGCAACCTGCTGTATCTGAGGGCCAGCTCAAGCTACAGGTAGGAGAGTCAGTGCCCAACGCGCCAAGCAGCTGGCGGGGCCCATACCAAAAAGTGTGAACTGGTTCCCATGTTCGGGTGACAGATAATGGCAGAAGATACAAAATAATCCCACGCTAGTTTAGAATTATATTTAATACATTTATGTAGGGGAGACTTACAGATCACTGTCCTAGATCACAATCCTCTGCGTGAGCAGGAAACAGGAATAAAGTCTAGCAGCTGCAAGCGAGAGCCATAAGCAAGACAGCAAGCGCAGGCTTTGCAACTGCATTTATAGTATAAGAGACCACACCCAAGTGGGCTGGTATCTTAAAGGCTATTGGCTGAAGGAGCGGAAGGAGTTTCCACAGCACTGGCACCATAATGTTTTTTGTTTTGTTTTGTTTTTATTCTTTGCTCTTTTGGGGGATCCTGCTACCTCCCAAATAAATGCATGAAGTCTTATTCTTACTTAGGAATAAGTAATGCCTGGCCTTAGTTTGACTTGTTTCTAGCCTGATTTTCTTAACTTAAATTCTCCCATCTATCTTTTGTCTCTGGGCTTTTCCTTTCTATATACCTTTCCTTCTTACTCGGTGACTTGCTGTGTAGCTGGGTGGCTGCCCCTGGAGGCCTCCTTTCCTCCTTTTCTTACTCCTCTCTCTTCTCTTTTTCTCCTTCTATTTATTCTATCTGTATGCCAGGCCCACCTATCCTTTCTCCCGCCTAGTTATTGGTTGTCCAACTCTCTATTAGACCAATCAGGTGTTTTAGACAGAGTAACACAGCTTCACAAAGATAAACAAATGCAACATAAAAGAATGCAACACATCTTTGTATCATTAAACAAATGTTCCACAGTACAAACAAATGTAACACATCTTCAACTCATGTTACACAACAATAACGCCCAGCGGTGGTGTTTGTGTGGTCATCTCATGGAGTGTTCGGGATGGCTGGTGCTGGCACAAGGGTAGGTGAGCTCTTAGACTACTATTCCTTTTGTTCAAGGTGGTCAAGACTGCAAAGAAGAGTTCAATACCTGTTGATTGTTAAATACTTCTTAATAATGCTTAGTTTTGTTTCTTCCCCAGAACCTGGGCCCTATCCTGGGATCGTGGATCTTTTTGGAGTTGGAGGTGGCCTTCTGGAATATCGAGCAAGTCTGCTGGCTGGAAGGGGTTTTGCAGTCTTGGCTCTGGCTTATTATAACTACGATGACCTCCCCAAGAGCATGGAGGCCATGCGCATGGAGTACTTTGAAGAAGCTGTGGACTACCTGCTTAGTCACCCTGAGGTTAGATCTCCCTCAGATTTTACTGGGCTCTGTCAGACCTCATCATGTACTTGATTTCACAGAACGAGTGAACTGATGACAGCCTCTCTGTATTTCACAAAGAGCCCAAGCCCATTGAGATTTCTAGGTTTGCTACAAGTAAAGAGATAGAAAAATAGGGCCCTCCCCAGCCAGTGCTCATTCAAATGATGTGCTCAGCAGGGCTCTCCTGCCTGTGCCCCCATGTCCCTGTGCCCCCATGTCCCTGTGCCCCCATGTCCCTGTGTCCCCGTGTCCCTGTGCCCCCGTGTCCCTGTGCCCCCGTGTCCCTGTG